TTTACCTAGCCCAAATGAGGTTTGTAAATTAATGCCCAGTATACTACGTAACACTTGGTATTACTATCACGTGAGATCAATTGCTGAAAGTGCATCCCAAAAAGTCGGTTTTCTGTTTCGGGCCAGGAGCTATTTCACTTCCAGTCAGATGCTTATGATCTATAAGGCACAGATCCGACCTGTCCTGGAATACTGTTCTCATATTTGGAGTAACATACCCTGAAACTGTTGGATTATGTCTAAAAAAACGCAATTCGTCTCGTGGGTGATGCCTCGCTCACAAACTCACTCACACTTCTCTGGAACACCGTAGAAAAGTTGGCGATTCGGCTCTATTTTATAGATATTTCCATGGACGATGCTCTTCTGAGATATCAACAATTGTTCCTTCCTTGGCAGTCCCCGCGAGATTAGCCCGTCGAGTTGAAGCTTCGTACCCCTTCGTGGTCACTTTGGAGACCTGCAGAACATCTCTTTCCAAAGACTCGTTCATCCAACCAACAGCGAGGCTCTGGAATACATCGCCAAGGGACGTGTTCCTCGAGGCATATAACCTCCAGAAATTCATGAAGAACACCAATTCCTACCTTGTTTTCGGTTTTCACGATGTTCTCTGAACATTACAGGATATTCCTTTTCGTGGAAACCAGAACATGAAAAAAACATGACAACCTCACACCTAGATACCAACATGATTCAACCTCCTATCATACAAGATGTATATTAACCATGCTACAAATAGATGATAATATCACCAAGAATCGCCTTTATAAAAATTGCAAAATAATGAAGCTATGCGCACAGTTTTGATGCAGAAGTCATATACCGAAACTATGTTTGACTGCCAGTGTAAGCTACCTTCATTACCCACAGAATAAAACTGTTGTCAAGAATATTCTGGAAATATATTAGAAACTCGTGGAGTTTCACTCGTTGAGATGCCTTCATCTGCCGATATGGATATTTCTACAGAAGAGTTCATTGACATATGACAGATCTCTCTTGATGCTAATAACAGTTCATTTCAGATTTAGATATCTACCTACTCGAAGCGAATGGGATGGTACAACCAAGTGAGCCAAGGCCGTGCCCAGGAGTTTTTCTCTTTCGGGTGGGTCCAAGAAATAAAAGAATTGCTAATTCATTTTACTTTTCGAATTGGATGGGCAAAAATTGGACCAGAACCGATATTGGGAATACCCAATATATCGGCTATGTTCTTCATGAAGGAAATGCTACAGAGGCATGAAACATAGCGGGACACACCAGGAATGAGACAAGCAAAGCTCCATATAGAGGAACCTTCAAAAAGGCTCACGAGAGAGATCCTGTAACTTAATAGAAGGGATTTCAAGATGGTAGTTGGGCTCTTAACTGGGCACAACCACCTCAACAGGCACCTAGAACTCATTGGGATCAAAGATGATCCCATCTGCAGATGGTGCTTGCGCTTGGAGGATGATGAAACATCATCACACATACTCACTGAATGCCCCGCGCTGGTGCATCAGAGGAAAGCTGCCTTTGGGAGCATTGTACTGCATCCAAAGGATGTGAAAGTGACTCAGCTGAGGAAGCTGCTGAATGTCGTCAAAGAAATCGGCATGCCCAGCTGATTCACAGGACAAGAGGGCGCACAATGGGCCCGACTGAAGAGGCCTGAATGCAGGGGTCTACGCACCCGCCCACCTGTGCAGATGAGAAGAAGAAGAAGAAGAAGAAGAAGAAGAAGAAGGAGAAGAAGAAGAAGAAAGGGCAAATTTGGATTCAGGCCTCCATTAACAGGAGGAGTCCAAACCTACCAAACCCCCTCTGGTCACGGCCTAGACAGCCTACTTGAGTGTATATCAGAAATTCAGATAGTCTAACACAAAACTACTGAAAATGCCATGAAAGAATCTTCTATGAGAACTCAGTCAATGATATGAACCAGAAAAATCCTAATATATGAAAATTCACATTCTATAGAATTTTATTCTCCTGGCCACCAGCCAGTGATAAATTCCTGGTAGGTATTCAGGTTCCAGATGCCTATACCCATATGAAATACATGACTGTTGCGCTCTTTCACTATATCCAAAACAACCCCTCCCATGTGTATACTTTTGGATACACAATGAGGCGATCATATTGGTCAACTGGGTGATTTCTATATTGCCAATTGAAATTTCGATCTTTGTGAGCTCCAACACAATATGAAAAACAGTATTGTGTCTGTTGAACAACTGAATTCTGTTATAGGATACGAATGAAAATGTTTCTGGAGTGCTGCATCTGTGATGTTTATAGTTCCTCTGGTGTGCCCACTCTTCAATTGTTTCGTCAGACTAGATCTCGATATGAACAATTGAATGCGAGTTCAGAACATGCGGAGTTCTCATATTCGATGATAGATGGCGTGAACGATAGACATTTTCTTGAAATGAAGTTGAACTAGACTTTCAAGGATGTGTTTTCCATATGTTTCGAAACCTGAAGAGTCACGTTAATGATGCACGAATTCAATAATAGCTGATAAGAAGCATCTAGAGACAGGAAGCAAACAAGGCAGGGCGCAACAAATAATCCTTGCGTCTTGATCTTGACACATCTGTCACGAGTGTCATGTTTTCGGCATATTTATGATTCTGTTCAAATTTCTAATAGAAATATTATAAATTGAGAGCATAAGTAGTTAATTAAGCAGGTATTGATTCAATATTATTAGTTGAGTAAGTGTATTGTGCTTCCATCGTGGACTGATTGTTGCAATATTTGAGGATTATTAGAAAGTCCGAACATTCATTTCATTTTATGTACGAAAAGTGAGTAAATAAACTCTTATCTCATGATTTTCTTGAGTTAGGACTATGTCGTTTATGGATTCCCCATCGAATGCAGATAATATTTCCATCTGAACAAAAAATTGTGAAAATGAAAATGTGTACTCGAATGAATGTGTCATGATGCCTGTAAATTTGGTTTGAAACACCGGAAATTCAGTAAGATTCTTCCACGCCTCGCTATTTTCACAAAGGAAGTGATAACACCATTTGATTTTCTATACATCTATGCTGCATCTACCAGTTTCTAGATATTTTTGCATAATCTCTAAATGAATCTCTCAACGAAAATTCAGAAGATTCTCAATGTTATCATATCATCTTTCCAATAAAAATGATCATTATAACCGGTCGTGGAGATTGCAATTACCTTTACTATTTGTGCCATGCCATCAACCTTCGATGTCAATTATTTACCGTAAATTCACATATAATCATGAATTTTCAGTAGACAACAAATTATTAATTAACACTCAATTAATTGGCTATTGAGAATTCGAATTAATTAGAAAGAACGTTTCTTGGGCGCGTTCCGTGATTATATTTAAAATTGATTTTAATCTGATTTGCGTATAATCTACGAACCAAATGGTTCGTAAAATATATGAGCCATTTGAAAACAGGCACCGTTACAGTGACGTCAGGGACGAACCGAAAGTGACTTTTTGAGGGGGCCAGTATAAGTGAATTTCGCCAACTCATTTTTACTTTCTCCAGTTTTCGTTTTGCACAAAAAAATAATGAAACGAAGGACGACGCGGTTGTCTTGTGTTGTCTTTACATTCATTCAAAATATCATATTTTCTCATCAGAAGGAATTTTTGGAATTCCGAGTTTGAACTGGGAATACGATGGGATACAAGAAATTTGATTTTCGATGGATGAGCTAACAAAAGTCGGAGATTCAGAGTACGCAGTACGCCGGACATTCCAACAGCCATTATAATTTTTCAACCCTTGATGCCAACGAAAACTGCGATACAGATGGAGATTCTGGGGCTGAAGACGATGTAGTTACAAATAATTCACCCGGAGTGCAACTAAGGGCCATTGCGTAAATGGGCGTGTACACCTCAGTAGAACTTTTAACTCAAACCATGTTTATAATGATCCTTTTATACATAAATAATGATTGACGACATAATTCAATCGAAAAATTAACTGGAATGTTTTATTTTTGGACATAAATAATAGTACCTTCGGAAAACGGACCCTCTTATGACGTAGACACCTCATCTCGCCATAGTTGAAAGAAAATACCAAACGCCCGACGGAGACTGAGGCAACTGATATATTAATTCTTTCAACTGTGATCTCGCGCTAATTCACTCTGCCAGAAATCATGTATCATTCATCTCTGTCTGGAATAGTCTTGTTTCAGTATTAGGGTTTTGACGTCACATCATCGCCTCGTTTTCAGAGGTTCGAAAAATCGGGGATTTCATTAATTTTTTATAGAACGTAGGGAGCTCTCAGGAAGAAACGGTTTGCGGTGGTGAGCTAGTTTGGGTGAGTTCTATCGAATTATGAAATAATTTTTTTTTCGTGATATAAGCCCATTGACTTTGACGTAGAAGGTGTCGACGGCGGGACAGTGATGACCATCTACCACTGTCCACTTTTGTTGAAAGGCGACCTAAACTCAAAAAGACATTTGACTGGAGATTTTGATTCTACGTTTATGCAATGGCAACCAGATCAAACTGCACAAATAGTTCCCATGGAAATATGTTCAAGCTGTTTTTTGATAAAAACCTCGATAAAAACTTGCTAGGATGAATTGTCAATTTTAGCAATATTAATGCACAACAAAAAGACCGCCCTCGGTAAATTTACTGCAGATGAGATGTACTTCATAGAGGTGTAACTTTTTAGTGGATACACAACTGTTCTAAGACGACATAATATGTATTGGCAAAATTGCAACGAACTTTTAGCAGCCGCTATTTCCAAGGATAGATTTCAATTCATACTGACCTTGATAAAAATTACAAGTACTCTGAACTGCGTCCTCTTTTCAACAGCTTGAATGAGAAGGTTTTGATCTTGTCCTGTTTCAGGGGATTTCTCAGAAATGTAGAGTGTGGCTGAGAATGAATTTATTCAGTACTTCATGAAAGCATATGGAAGCGAGCCGTTTCTGGCAGGTTTGCAGAAGAAAAGTAATTTCGGACACAGCACACACAAAAATAAAGGATATATTACCCAAACAAAATCAAAATTGACAGTTTTTTGTTGTTACATTGAATAATTTCAGGCAACATTGACTAAACATATATATTTATTCCAAATAAACAATTCATTTGAAAATATTGGATTATTTTTAACAAGAATGAATCAGATGATTTTCCTTAAGATGTCATTCGTCCAGAAAATATGACTCAATATATGAATCTAAAATTCAATCGACAGTTATTGAGGAATTATATAATTTCAGCTATGTTTGGATCTTTCGGGAATGAATCTGCTCCTTTTTTCAAGGTGAAGAAGAAAACTATAACTCTTCAGCTCGATCTCTTCGTTTTTTGTATTTATATTTCATATATTTACGTTTATATATATGTATACCTATTTGTCGAAACTGGGCAACAATATATGATTATTATGAAATATTTCATATAGATTTGATACACATGTACCTGTTTTTATTTATTTTTGATCATAGACAAAGTCAGTAGTATAGGTACTCAAGATCACAATATTTCGAATCAGCACTATCAGCAGATCCATATGTGGACAATAACGTTACAAATTTCAATACGCTTAGCTGTTGTCTCCCATTGCAAATGGCGCAGAACTATGTGTCTTCAAGAAGTAACTTCCTCTTGCACTGAAAAATAGAAAAAAATAATATTGATGAAGATTAGTTTAATGATATTTCGTAACGTTAAAGGTTACTCAGTGGGGTGAGCTTTCAGAAGTTTCAAATGGATAATCTGAAACACAATTCTTGATACCGAAACTCAACTGCTAGATCTCATAATTAAGAGATCCAGGATGAACAGAGTTGCCCCAATTGTCAGCAGGAGCGAGAAAGAAGTGTTTCGACCCACCAGGTCTCATCAGCCGCTCTCGGTCTGTTGACAACTGGGGCAACTCTACGCTTCTGGTATATCACCCATTCCAAAGACGCAGGGTATAACATGGAGTTATAGTCATGTTGGCGAGGAAAGCGCATAACAATGCGACTAAGACAGGAGATGAAGGGGCGTGGGATGACTGTGAATCCGCGAGAAGGGAGTTTAAAAAGAAGTTTATTTATTTATTTATTTACCATTTTAGGTTGCTAACAGAACAAAGTTCCAAAAAACAGCATCCAGTATGTAAGAATTATTCTAAGTTATTTCTACAATTATACATAAATAAAGGTTTCTTATCGATATAAAATTATCTGGCAATAATCAAATGTGATTTAAAAAATATGGTATGAAGATGTTTTTATGTTAATAATATAGTAAAAATTGTGGGATATAATAGATCATAATAGAACGAGTACAGGAAATGAGGAACCATTTTAACTATTGATCTGAGTTGAGAAACATATTTTTCAAAAAAGATTTGAAACGAGGCAAAGATGTCGAGAAAATGTCGAGAGATGAAATGGGATCGTGACAGTGTGTGTTGAATGCTTTTTGCATACGAACTAGTGGCGAGTTTTGTCCTAGATTGGTTCTACAATAAGGGATATTGAATGGGGTATAATATCGGAGATTGTTTCTACTGGGAACATTGAAATTTATTTTTGCAAGTAAGTATGGGCAGTCGATTTCATGTCTAATAATTTTGAAAAGAATAGATAAGTCTGAGAGAGTACGTCTTTTACTAAGTGGCATAATTTTAAATTGATTCCGAATCGGCTGATAATTGTGGTCCTGAACGCTAATCTTGTTTTGAAAGGCTAGGAATCTTAACAGTTTATTTTGAACACTTTCTATCCTTCTTGAGTGTACGGCATATTGAGGATTCCAAATAGCCGACGCAAAAGAAAGCTTGCTGTTGACGAATGCATAATATAGTGAGATGATAGTCTCAGAATTATGAAAATACTTTCCGTTTCTTTTTATGAACCCAACCATCCTGTTCGTCCCGTTGATCAGTTTGTCTATGTGACTGTTAAAAGTCCATTTTGTGTCCAGTGTGACGCCTAGATCTTTGATTTCGGTGATATATTCAAGGTTGTTATTGTTAATTTTGTAGGTATGCTGGATGAGATTTCTATTTCTTGAATATGTTATGGCAAAACATTTGGTTGGGTTTAAAAAGAGACTATTATTGTCGCAATAATCGGCAAGCCTGTCAAGGTCACTTTGAATTTTCAAGCAGTCGTCGACACCCTTTACCAATGAAAATATTTTCAAATCATCAGCATATAGTAGTATTCGACAGTGTTCAAAACAGTTTTTTATATTATTTATGTAGATGATGAAAAATAATGGACCAAGGTGGCTACCCTGCGGAACACCGGAAACTGCTTCGAAGGTATGCGAATTGAAACCATTTACTGACACCATCATCTCCCTATTAGTTAAGTAGGACCAGATCCATTTCAACAGCGATCTGTGTACACCGACCCCCGCCAGCCTTTCCACAAGAATAGAGTGGTCTATCTTATCGAATGCTTTGCTGAAGTCGGTGTACACAGTGTCTACCTGAATTCTTTTATCAAGAGCATCGGAAATAAAATCAGAAAAACATAGTAAGTTCGTCTCGATGCTTTTTTTGGGAAAGAAGCCGTGCTGCTCTTCTACGATTACATTTCTCACGGATGCTAATATCTCTTGATAAATGATCTTCTCGAATATCTTTGCGAAAATACATAGTTTGCTAATTGGTCTATAATTTTTTACCAAATGTCTGTGTCCACTTTTGTATAATGGTGTAATAATTGCCACTTTCCATTGAGACGGAAAAGTGCTTGTTTCAAGTGATTTGTTGAGAATTTTTGTTAACGGATAACATAGAGTGTTTTTACAATTCTTAATGAATAGTGGTGAAATGTTATCAGGCCCAGCCGATTTGTTTTCGTCTAATGATGTAAGTATGGAAAGAACGGATTCCGCACTGATCGTCCCAATACAATTTGGTAAATTGTCGGTCAAATCTGGAGTACCACTATTATTTTCAACAAATACGCTACTAAAAAATTCAGCGAATAGACCACTGACGGCTCGTCCGCCCTGAGCTATTGCATCGTCGTAATGCATAGTTTGTGGTATAGCAGTGTCAGTTTTTTTCTTATTGGAAACAAATTTCCAGAATTTTTTTGAATCATGTTTTATTTCATTTTCAATATTTCGAACATACGTTTGAAAGTCCCGGCTTATGAGCTGTTTCGATTGTCGTCTGAGGTTGGCAAAGGTGTTGTAGTGTTCTAGATTATTCGTGGATTTGAATTTTTTATGAATTTTGTTTTTCTTTACTATAGTTTTGATAGTGTCAGCCTTGAAATAAACAGGGTAGTTACCTTTAATTTTATAGCTAGGAACAAACTCTTCCACTGTATTTTTTATTTCTGTTGTAAAAGCCTCAACTGATTCGTCGACATCTTTATCCTTGAAAAGTTGATCCCAGTTGAGAAGTGATAAAGAATGATTGATATCGTCATAATTAGCTTTTTTGAAATTATAAACGAACTTGTCGTCTCGAGCCAGCATTTTATTCAATTTGACGTCAAGGAAACACTTCAAAGAGGGGTGGTGAAAATTCTCTGGGACCAGAGGATTTTGTGAGTGATGCAGGTTCTTTATAAGATTTTTGTTACATAATATCAGATCAAGAGTTCTGTTATTGTTCTTTCGAACTGAATTGAATTGTCTCAACTCCATATATGAAAATGTATCTATAATTTCAGAAGATTTATCATCTACTTGCAGAGGTTCCAGAAACCCTTCATTCGTTTTAATTTCCCAGTTGATAGTAGGCATGTTGAAATCTCCCAATATCATAGCTACATTCTTTTCAAAAATCGTTTCATTGGAATAAATTTTAGTGACAAATGAAAGCTTAGAAATATAGTCTTCTCCCGGCAAGTAAACACAACAAATAAAGTATTTTTTACCGGATCCAACTTCGATAGATATCCAGATGTCTTCTGCCTCCGATTCCATTTCACTGCAACGCTTGGATGTGTATTTTTTATTTATGGCTATCAGTACTCCCCCGCCGTCTTTTTTCAACGAGCTCACCCGATCTCTGCGATACACTACGTAATCACTACCGAATAACTCACTTGTTTGTACTCCATTATTTAGCCACGTTTCAGTCAGGCAGACGACGTCATAGTTGGTGGATAATAGGTTGTGGTAGAAATCAAAGGTTTTGGTGCGCAATCCTTGTGTGTTTTGGTAAAAAATATGCAGGTTACCCTCCATTTCGAATTATATTCCTCTATATGTATTGTCTTTTGGGATAGTGATTTTCACATTTTTTCAATGGATTGACTATCTTTGATGAGAATGATACGAGAGTTTTCATCTTTTCTAACAAATATTAAACCGTTTTTCGTCCAGACGAACTTGTAGTTCTTCTCCTTGGCTATAGCTCTTGTATCTTTGTAAATCAGCTTATTTGCTAAAGTGAGATGTTCGTTTATATACAAGTTGTCAGAGATACCTTCTATTTGCATTTTTGGGGAACCATTTCTTCTCTGAAGCCGTTTTGTTTTAGCTGCAGCGAGAATTTGTTCCTTTGTGTGACGTGAATTGAAGCGCACTATAATATTTTTTATGTTGTTTGTTGAGTTTCTGTTTACTTGAACACGATGTATGTAATCAATACATTGGGGGTTAATATCGAAATCAATATACTCTCCTATTTTCTGTACGATGCCTATCAGATTTTCGTTTGTTTTTTCAGGAACACCCTGTATCTCCAGATTATTGAGACGAGAAGTTTGCTCTAGGTCATTGATTTTGGCCTCGAGGGTTTTGATCTCGGATTTGGTTTTAATGTTATCTTTAATAAGGTTGTCCGTCTTGATTATGTAATCATTGATTTTTGATAGCTTCTCTTCGAAATCGGAAACCTTGTCACTGCAGAAGGTAACAGAGTTTACCAATGCAGCTTGTTGTTCCCGAATCTGACGGAGTTCTGTTTTTATTTCTTGCATAGCTGCCATAATAGCTTCATTGGCGAGTCCCGAACTGTTTGCAACGTGAGCCCCAGACGCAGATTCCGCTGGTAGTGGCCTAACTCCTCCAATCGTCGAGAAGCGGCCGTTTCCGCGACACTCGGTACATTTCCAGCTAAATCCTTCGTTTCGTAGGTTATCGAATTGCTTACTTCCCATGCCGAGGCAACTGCCATGAAAGAGACTCTCACAAAAACCACTGCACTGAACACGAAGTAAGAGAAACAGCTGGAGAACCTATTGTGGAGAAATTAACTCCCTGACCGGCCGGCTCCGCAAGTACAGCTGGTCCCTCAGGAGGACTGACAGCTGGCGAAGAGGGTCGTTACTGATGGCGCCATAGCCTGGGCAGTGAATGAGTTCAAACCAGTCAAGGCAGCAGGGCCTGACGAAACTTTTCCGGCTTCAGAGGGGCCTGGGACTAATCACCCCGGTATTGAGAGGGATTTTCCGGGCTAGTCTGGCGCTGGGATATGTTGCGACAGCCTGGAAATAAGCAAGAGTAGTCTTTATCCCAAAAATGGGAAAAAAGGACTACACAGTAGCAAAGTCTTTCAGACCCATTAGTCTAACATCCTTCCTGCTCAAAGCGCTGGAGAGAGTGGTGTACAGGTTCCTGCTAGAGAGGCCCCTGATGGCGAGCCTCTTCCACAGGAACCAACGGCCCTCCATGCTGTAGTGCGAAGGTTCGGAAAAACATTAGAATTCGAAGAGGTAACGCTGGGGGTGTTCTTCTACGTAGAGGGAGCCTTCGACAAGGCAAGGACATACACTATACAGGCAGCACTACAAGTCATAGGAACTCCTCCTGCAATGGTCAGCTGGGTAGTGTCGTCACTGACTAGTAGAAAGGTAGAAGTAGTTCAGGAAGACCATAGACTGAGTACGGTGGTTGGTGGGGGATGTCCCCAGGGGAGTAGCCTTTCTCCCCACCTAAGGTGCTTGGTCATGGATGAACTCTTGTGCAGGCTTACTCAAGGAAGTTTTGAGGCGTAGGCATACGCAGACGATGGATTGGTCCTGGTGAGCGGACGATTCCTAGGGGTTGTCTGTGAACGTATGCAGGTAGCCTGCAGGATAATCGAAAAATGGTGTGATGAAGCGGGGCTCTCTGTCAATCCGACGAAAACAGAGATGATCCTATTCACCAACCGAAGGAAAAAGGACGGGTTTAAACCACCTACTATGTTAGGCCAAGAGATGGAGTTAGTTCAACAGGTCAAATACCTAGGTGTCGTCTTGGATCCAGGACTCTCATGGAGGCTACAAAAGGTGCAAGAGTCGGTGATAATTCTTTGGCAACTTAGGAGGGTCGTTGGGAGAACTTGGGGTGTTGACCGCGATATTATGCGCTGGCCATGCACAGCGGTCGTAAGACCAAAGATTCTGTATGGATCAGCTGTGTGGTGGCGAGGTGCAGAAACCAGCACAATTAGTCGAAAGCTTAGTAAAGTTCAGAGGATGGCCTGCCTTTCGATTACAGGAGCAATGAGGACGACGCCAACTGCAACGCTGGAGGTTCTGCTGAGGCTGCCGCCGCTTTCAATCTGGATTGAGAGGGGAGCAATGGCGGCCTATCTGAGGATGCGGGACTCTGGGAGTTGGGCTAACGGAGGAGCAGTGACAGGTCACGCGGAAAAGCATAGCCACCCCTGTTCTATTGTGTTATTTTGGTTCTGTCATCCAAATCATATTGTTTTGTGTTCAAAGTGTCAATGTCTTGTTCATCTTTCAATTTGTCTACAATTTTTTCATCTCGGTGTTCCATCGCTCACTGATTTCTGATATCGCTCCCTTAGTTATATTATGTAGTTCATAATAAAAAACCTTGCAAGATAAGATGTCAAATCTTATCAGAGCCAGTTTTTTCTGGCTCTATACTAAATTTGAAAAGAACCATATGTGCCTGACTCTGATATCCCGTTGACGACTTGAGTTGCTCTCATGTTCATTTTTCCATAATGCTACTTATTAACTTCATGCGTTGGTATGTTTTTGAAAAGTTTGTTACTTTCCTCTATTTGTATTGTCATATTTCATCTTTTTACAGGTACTTTTTGGTCTGATGATGGCCGTTGCACCGAAGCCGGTTTCATGTAATTTTTTATATTTTTTATAAAGTGTGGTCGACCGACTTTGAGACATTTGGTGTTTTTCTTTTAGCGAGAGATGATTGACCTCTATGCACCATAACACATTGAGATCTCCCATCCAGATAATATTTTAATTATGATTAGTAAGTAGAAGTTTTTCAGATTTCTCTCCTGATTTCTGAATTCATAACTGAATGGCACTTACAAAGACAGTAGGTAGTTATAACCTGTCATAAAATATTGCATCATGTATGCGATCTACAAAATCAGGTTGTTTCAATAAGTTCCTTCGCATGAAAGTACATAGTAGAAAACTTCCATTCATGATATCTATATTCATATAACTTCACTGTGTGTTTTTATGTAGAATACTCACCTCTTGTCAACCTGGTACTGACCCATAAACGACTTGATTTGACCGTCACAATTTCCATTTTTATATTCGGTGTAATTATCGCACTTCATAGCCGTGAAATGACCCGACGTCAAGGATTCAGCATAATAAAGGTAGGATCTCGAGTGGCTGCAACTTCCGGTTATATCAAGAATGCATCCAGGTTGGCTACCTCCACCATTGGGGAAGTAATCAGCATGACCTATGGCTTTGTTGAAGCCCAATAATCCGGCGTTGGTGTGGATGACGTGGACGAATTTGGCGTCAGTGGTATCCAGACGACCTTCTGTTTTGTCGTAAGAAAATAGTGGACCCGCTGGATCCATACCTGAAAAACATTTTTTTGTCGAGATAGTTGGAATCCTTTATGGACATCATATGGGTCTAATCTCTCATTCGGTAATGTGAAAGTTTTCTGACTTCTAGGAATGATGAAAATAAGTAAATGGTGCGCGTACTTGGTACTCGACCGCTCACTATGATTTCTTTACGGTCGACGTCACATCGAGCGAGACGTTCAATCTACTTTTTCCCGCTGAATGGTGATGCTGCTATTGCTGCTGTGGCGAGTATCACTAGTGAAAATAAAATGGCAAACGGCATTTTGGGTTCTCGGAGCATATGTAAAAGTGGGTTTATTTTACTCGAAATTCGAAAAATCTGAGGCAATATCAAAATTGACCGATATCATGATGGAGCCATGTTGCCATCTATTAGAAGATCGCCGAAACCATTGTTCTCGAGAGATCGAGAAGAATTACTGGAACAAAAGCGCATCAGTATGTACACCATCTACTTATTTTCATCATTCTCTAGGATATACCTACTAAACAGTCCACCCCGTTTGTAAGGTCGCCTGACCGATGTCTACGATGATCCTTAGCCCTAGGGGCCCATGATTGCACCCTTCCTATATGCCGTTATCAATTTTACTATACAGTGTGTCCCACTTACCATGCTCACCATGGGTATCTTTTTAACGGTGAGAGATACGAGGTCGGTTAAATGACACCAAATGTGGAGTTTGTCAAGGCCAACTATAATGTGAAAAAATATTTTGATAAAATCTATTCGTTTTTGTTTTATACGCAAAAAACAGATTTTGATCATTTTCATGTCTGCTCCATAATTTATTTATTTATGAAAATATTCAAATAGGAATTTCACATTCTCATGGCAGTTTTTCAAAGTGATTTCGAAAAAAATATGAAATTTATACCAACTCTTCAAGAATTTGAGATATCAGCACCAACTTTAGTTTTTCAAATGTAGGTCATAGCTCACTATGACTTAGTTACAAATAACTTTTTTTTCTCTTACAGATGATATGTCGCAGTAATAGTTTTGTGTTGATAACAACGGAGTTATCGTCATTTATACAAAAACAACAGATTATTTGGAAGCCGCCATCTTGAATTTATAAATTATAATAGAAAATCATGATCTCCGACCTCAAAAACCCCCACTCACCAATTTTGAATGGAATCGGACCAAATCTTGGCTCCATCAATTAACAAAAATGGCTGCTCCAAGATGGCGGACAAGATTTGGTCCGATTTCATTCAAAATTGGTGAGTGGGGGTTCTCGAGGTCGGAGATCATGATTTTTTTGTTGAAATTTATAAATTCAAGATGGCGGCCTCCAAATAATTTTTTGTTTTTGTATAAATGACGATAACTCCGTTGTTATCAACACAATACTATAACTGCGACATATCATCTGTAAGAGAAAAAAAAGTTATTTGTAACTGAGTCATCGTGAGCTATGACCTACATTTGAAAAACTAAAGTTGGTGCTGATATCTCAAATTCTAGAAGAGTTGGTATGAATTTCATATTCTTTTCGAAATCACTTCGAAAAACTGCTATGAGAATGTGAAATTCCTATTTGAATATTTTCATAAATAAATAAATTACGGAGCAGACATGAAAATGATCAAAATCTGATTTTTGCGTATGAAACAAAAACGAATAGATTTTATCAAAATATTTTTCCACATTATAGTTGGCCTTGACAAACTCCACATTTGCTGTCATTCAACCGACATCGTATCTCTCACCGTTAAAAAGATACCCATGGTGAGCATGATAGTGCGACACACTGTATTCGACTCATGGACACTACAATTCAAAAGGCCCGTCTCGTGTGGTTCATGTTCCTGAAGTTTCTTTAGATCCCCTTTCTCGTGTACGAAAAAGGCCAAAATAATTTCTTCTTCTACTAGAGACGGGGGAAGAGGTGGGCTGAGGCTGTTCACTTGGCCACCTAGACAGATATCTTCAAATCGCCACATCCTCGCCACATATGCCCACAAATTGTCCTAATTGGCTTGGAGATGGCAAAGATAGTCCCAAAATGCTGAAGCTGTCGAAAAGCCGTTCTGTCCTCCCCACACACCAGTCAATGGTGAAGTTTTGCTTGATGGGGGAGAGGAAAAGAGGAGTTGGCCAAGGAAGGCTGAAGAATAGAATGAGAGAAGCGAGAAAGAAGAGGATATTACCAAGACAAGCTGATGTTCGCAATTTTTGTACTCCCAAGTTGTGAACCACTAAGGGGAAGAGGACATAGTACACCCTTCTTGGATTATCAATAATATCAAGATCAACGTGTATTGAAGATTCTGGAATGTCATATTCTCTGTTGCGGCAATTCTGCCTATTGTAGAATCATATTTCACCTCAAGAAGTGGCAGGTCAAGTGCATTAATGAACTTCATGACTTTGTCAAGTGATTTTATGTCCATGTTTTCTTGCAAAAGTCACTTTTGCTCCTACTACAGTGCGGAAACTAAACTCTATTAGATCATCGAACTCTGTTTTTTTTATGTTCTGGTTCCCACGAGAAGGATATGCTGTAATGTTCAGAGAACATCGGTGTTCTCCTTGAATTTCTGAAGGTTACATGCCTCGGAGAAAACCTTCCTTGGCAATGTGTTCCACAGCCTCGCTGTTCGTTGGATGAACGAGTCTTTGGAAAAAGATGTTCTGCAGATCTCCAAAGTGACCATGAAGAGGTGCGCAGCCTTGACTCGACGGGTCAATCTCGCGGGGACCGCCAAGGTGGGAACAATTGTTGATATTCCAGAGGAGCATCGTCCATGGAAATATCTATAAAATGGAGACAGATCGCCAACTTTTCTACGGTGTTCCGAGGAAGTGGTTGAGTTTGTGAGCGAGGCATCACTCACGAGACGAATTGCCGTTTTTTGGACAAAATCCTACAGTTTCAGGGTATGTTTGGGTGCTGCACTCCAAATATGGAAACAGTATTCCAGGACAGGTCGGATCTGTGCCTAATAGATCATTAGCAGCTGACTGAAAGTGAAATAGCACAATTACTGCGAATGGAAGATTTTACAGTATAAAAATGCTTTCCTTCGTGCCCAGTCCTGGATGAGAACTTTGTTAGCACTTTTTGCTACGCCATAAGATAAATGCTATTACTGATAACATAAATATTGAAGTGGACCTTCTTTGGCTAGGTAAACTACTACATTCTTGTAAGAACCCCCACAAACGATGAGATTTACACAAAATTTTCAATAACAGGACATGTTCCTAAACAAGAATTTATTGTAGGAGTTTTTCACTTGAAGGAGCTCATACTGTGTTATTGAGATATTTAGGAAAATCTCAACGTTTGTGAAGTTTTACAAATTCACTATTTAGATTTCTATCGAGTAACTGCCGAATCAATTCAAGATACTACATTATTCTTCAACCAGGAATTCAGACCAGAGATATTTTGTTTCTACTCCCCAGTTGGAATAGTTTTCTGATACTTCCATACTTCCTGGACTGCACCAAGCTGAAGATCCGTTATATTGTTTCATCTCAGCAAGAGAACAATAACAGGATATCGAACAGGGTATTGTACACCCAGAGAACACCTCAGGAAGATTGGGCGAGATGATAATAGCACTTGCATGTTCCACAAAGAACGCGGAGAACAAAGTTGACTTCGAAGCTTATCATATGAGTAATTGGTAATTGGTAATTGGAAGACTAAATATAAAAAGGTGATACCTGAACATTTTGTTTGATTTCAACAATTGTAGCGTTGGCATATGTGAATCGAATCGAATTGTACGTTCTTTACTTGATATATTTATGGTATTGATTTCGCCAATAAGTATTGGGTGAGGGTTGCTGGGCTGTGTGTACGTGTATATATACCAAAGAAGGGAAGTATTGTATTTCGTGCAAGATAATTCATTTAGATTTATATTCGTAGCAGAGCGCTTTCGACTGTTAAGTCATCATCAGTGCATACCTGTAATTTCAATTTCTTTCCAATAGCTAAAGGCAGATTACTTACTCACAGGTATGCACTGATGAAGCGCTCTGCTACGAATATAAATTTGAATAAATTATCTTGCACGAAATATAACACTTTCCTTCTTTGGAATAAGTATTGGTGCAATTTTCTAGTAATAACATTTCGAAATCGCATTTTCCACACTGGCTGATATAATTTCCAGAGCGGTTCACATATACGCCGGTAGTTACAACTGTCCAAAATTGAACGGGATCACTAGGTGTCTATTTCTGGTTTTGACCATTCAAGCATATTCTCACCTACAATAACATCACATTCGCCTTCAACATGAGCGCAAGCTATCCCAGCAACATGAGCACCCAGAGAATGCCCAGCAACAGTTGTGTTGGCCAAATCCAGCCCATTATTCTCTACAAGACTATCCATGAGTTTGCCAAGAAGGCTTCCAACTTCCGGAACAGCCGAGGACGCTTCCAGGTAAGTCTTGAAGGAGATTTTACTCCAGTCCACGGCGAAAACATTGATGTCCTGGACGTCCAAGGCCGCTTTCGAGACAACCTCGATGACTTTTGCATCGTATTGGTTCCTCCATCCGTGGATGATGAACAGAGTGTGCTTTTCTTTAGCAAATCCTGCGGATCGAATGCCTTCGCTGTCATTCCAATACACTTTGATGCCATCAGCTGGTCCATTTCTGACGTGGAAGTAGAATTGGATATCGGATTCTTGTGGCGGCTTGAATACAGCTTCTCGCATGAGGTCTTCTATTTCATATTGTCCTGAATCAATCTCTGATATGAGGTGGGTCACGAAAGAGGATTGATCATCCACCGTCGCAACTGTAAAAGTTAATATTTTATCATGTAGTTATATAAGTGACTATTCCACTCTTGATCTCGAGAACCAATCAGAATCGACCATTTTCACGGTTTCTTCTGTATTCTAGCGATATTTTTTGTTTATTAAATTTTATCGGACTTGCTCTACCAATACAGAAGCCGAATTGACCCACACGTGACCAACAAACCTCGTTTATCAGCGATAAAATTTTGACATCGTGTCTGGTCAAGATTGCTTTGTATTCAAATCTGACACAAGAGACAATAACCTAAGTACCTATTCCATTTAATTTACTCATAATTCGCGTTAGTGAGACATTTTGTACGAAAGGCGAGACAATTTCATTCTGGCTGGACGTTTCATGTGTAATTTAATAAGTTTGCATATTTGTTGACGGTCTGACAACAATACTAGAATGGGCGTGTACACCTTGGTAGAACTTTTAACTCAAACCATGTTTAAAATGATCCTTTTATACATAAATAATGATTGACGACATAATTCGATCGAAAAATTAACTGGAATGTATTATTTTTGGACATAAATAATAGTACCATCTGAAAACGGATCCTCTTATGATGTAGAAACCTCATTTCGCCATAGTTGAAAGAAAATACCAAACGCCGGACGGAGACTGAGGCAACTGATATATTAATTCTTTCAACTGTGATCTCGCGCTAATTCACTCTGCCAGAAATCATGTATCATTGATATCTGTCTGGAATAGTCCTGTTTCAGTATTAGGGTTTTGACGTCACATCAACGCCTCGTTTTCAGAGGTCCGAAATATCGGGGATTTCAATAATTTTTTATAAAACGTAGGGAGCTCGCAGCGATAAACGTTTTGCGGTGGTGAGCTAGTTTGGGTGAGTTCTATCGAATTATGGAATGAAAATTTTTTGTGATATAAGCCCATTCAAATTCCTTTTTAAAGTAATCTTCTTCAGTCACTCAAGTTATTGTGATTAATATAATCCAGGTGATGTGGCTCAACTGATAGGGTTGTTGCGCGGTGATACGAAGGTCGGTGGTTCAAGCCCGTCGGCGACAATAATTTTTTTTTAAATTATTTCATGTCACATAAATTCAATTCATTTTGTTCGAATTGGATAGCGAATGTATACACTCTTTTGAGAGCAACCATCTCCAAAATAATAAACAAAATACTGTTCATCAAAATTGTACATTCCACTTTGTGAATAACTATAAGTAGGTAATTAATTTCTAAAAAATTTAATTATGTATTTCATTCATCATGTTCTTCTTCGCAGTTTGAGTTGGAATAAACTTAAATTATGTTTCCTATTTCTTATATATATTGTCTCATTCAATCATGAAATAGTCATACGAATACAACTCGTGATACTATTTTTCCTGGAAATATTCGTCGATTGACATACTCCAGCTTGCTGCTCTAATTTCGCTCATGACATTGATCCAAAACTACTCGCCTACGGCTTGTAGTTTTGATAACAATGTCATTCACGAAATTACTAGGCAACAAGCTGACGTAACAATCACCGAATATTTCCGGCAAAATATTATCACTTGTGGTATTATATATGAAAATTTTTTATGTGGTTTTTATCACTCTGTAATACTTAATATTTGATGTGACTGCCAAAGCATATACAGTGTGTTCTTGAAGGTGAGGAATTGTTTTCTGCAGGATGTAGAACTCATCAAAATGGACAATATCACAGGTAATTGCCCACATGGAAATTGTAAAGTAACGAGGGTCAACAACTCACTCATGTGTTGTTCGACATATTTCAAGATTGACAACCAAAATATAAGCTGACTGGGTCTGTCGGGTTCGTCTGAGTGCTACTGCTAGTGATGGATTGATTCGTGAATTCATCAAAATCTAAGTGTAATATGTCCACGACAGTAGTGCCTATCTGAAAGAACATGATTGAAATGATCATCAGTTCATATTCTCCATGGTGAGTTTCTGGTGAAGTCTCCAGAAACGGAAAAATAAGTATGTCCCTTTCTCTTTCGAATACCTTCCTTGATAATGAGAATGAAGAAGCAAATTCAGTGCCATGGACTTTCGAATTGCAATACACAATGGTGGGTAAGAAAGATTACAGTGGAAAAATGTGCAGGTCAGTATTTTATTATGAACACGATTAAATAGCAGGAATAAAATGTATGAAAAATACACAAAATATCTAAACAAAGTGTCTTGATGATGCCGCCATCTTGTTTTTGATACAGCGCCCTCAAGGGTTGATCACCTTGCCTATTGCGTTCAAGAGTTGAAGCACTTGATGTCAAAATAGTGTCAACTGACCAGTCCGATTTTTACAATGAGGCCAGGGGATGAAGCATAAAAAAAATATTATTATTGTTGGTATTGTTGAAACTGATGATGCTAACAAGCAAGTGGGAAAAATCCTGAACGATATAACGTCACCAGAAAATATCCAAATAAATTATAGTTTCAGAATAGAAAACACAAAAGACAACAAACCACGACCTGTGAAAGTTGAATTATCAGATGAGAAAGATGCGGTACTTGTGATCAAGCGCAAATTCAAGCTCTCATCGACCAAGTATCCTGATGTTGAAATTAAGTTAAATAGGACGCCTAAGGAGATAGAAGAAACTGCAGCATCCACAAGCAGCTTGATGAACGTAATGCAAGCGGTGAAAATTTGAGAGTTGAATATAAAAATAATAAACCATCAATTGTACCTAGGATTCCCTTTCGTGTGCTCCAAGCGATAAAAAAAATTACAAAGAACTCCGCTCCGAAGGCGATGGACCAAACAACTGGGAGAGACCTGATAAAACTGCAACTAGGATCTCTAATTTTCTGAAACATGAAGGGCTTCAGTTACCTTTCAACGAGTTGACTATTGCATTTCATGTTCAACGATATACCTGATGGATAGTTTCAACACTCATTCATATGTATCATTGAAACAATTAGCGAAGATTGTGATGAATATCCTGAAATTATTCGGTCTTTCGTCATCAATGAATAAACCGCATGCTTCTTATGTTTCTCCTTATTAGGTCTCACAGTAGAACTTCTCAATTGAATATAATTTTTGATTGCATCCTGAACATTATCTGATGCCATACCTCTTGTTGTTCCCTTATTTCTCTTTTCTCTATCATATGATATTGAAGAAAATTTTAATTTTTTTTCTCAGTGTATGCATAACCTGAACACTATTATATTAATAATTGATGTATTTGTTCGAACCAATTCATTTGTAATGAGGATTCCTCTTTAGATACAATCGATGGTCTTCAATTGAATTGTATTGAATTGAATAATCTTCGATGAAAATGTTTCGAGAAATCATAGCCATGATGCAGTCAGTTTTGAAAGTTTCTACGATAATCTGGAAATAATATTATTATCTTTCCAAGCATTCATGACTCACCTGGGCTAGAATATGCAGAATAAAAACCAATAAAATATAAAATGAGGGCCTTCATTATGATGTCGTTTATTGAACTGATTATACTCCGAAATGTTCCTGAGATTTTATATAGACTTGAAGTCTGATTTCAAGTGATATACGGTCCATTGATGAAATATGATTAGCCTCTATCAGTTCAATCACTTCAACGGAATTATAGATACATATCGTAAAGATATCATGAAAAAATATGTTTGTCGACAAGTGCATATTGAGATTTCGTTCAACAATGTAAATGCAAATGAACTCAATTGAAAATACCTACAGTGTCTTTCAAAAGTATCGGAACGGTCTCATATTTCAGGAACGGCTTGAGAAAAATTCACGAAATTTTCTACAGGGTGATTATTGATGATGTCCGATTCAATGGTAGCATCGGCAATGTTGCCAAGTTTACAGTTTTTCAGATATTAGGAGTAACTTTATTTTTTCAAACGGAATACCCCATTTATTTTTATTGCAATTAATTGAGCGGCTCCTAATTACTTGAGTCCCTAAATATCAGATTCGTAATTATTGTGATTTTCGAAATATGACAACATAGCATTTTCGTTAAAAAGTTCTGGAACGGTCCCATATTTCAGAAACGGCTCAGAGAAAATTTATGAAAACTTCGACAGGATGGTTGTTGATGATGCCCGATTCAATGGTGATATTGGCAATGTTGCCAAATCAACAGTTTTTCAGATATTTAGGGTAACTCAATTTTTTCAAATAGAATACCCTATTTGTTTTCATTGCAATACATTCAGCGACGCCTCATTACTTATGTCTCCAAATATCAGATTTTAAATTGAAGTGGTTTTCGAAATATGACAACATGGCATTTTCGTTCAAAAGTCTGGGAACCTTCTAATATTTTCAAGGAAAATTCATGAAATTTTATACAAGATGGTTTCTGATGATACAAGATGGTTTCTGATGATGCCCGATTCAATGGTGATATCGGCAATGTTGCCAAATCAACAGTTTTTCAGATATTGAGGGTAACTCAATTTTTTCAAATGTATTGCAATGAAAACAAATAGGGTATTCCATTTGAAAAAATTGAGTTACCCTAAATATCTGAAAAACTGTTGATTTGGCAACATTGCCGATATCACCATTGAATCGGGCATCATCAACAACCATCATGTCGAAGTTTTCATAAATTTTCTCAGAGCCGTTTCTGAAATATGGGACCGTTCCAGAACTTTTTAACGAAAATTCTATGTTGTCATATTTCGAAAATCACGTTAATTACGAATCTGATATTCAGGGACTCAAGTAATTAGGAGGCGCTTAATTAATTGCAATAAAAATGAATGGGGTATTCCATTTGAAAAAATTAAGTTACTCCTAATATCTGAAAAACTGTGAACTTGGCAACAATGCCGATGCCACCATTGAATCGGACATCATCAATAATCACCCTGTAGAAAATTTCGTGAATTTTTCTCATGCCGTTCCTGAAATATGAGACCGTTCCGATACTTTTGAAAGACACTGTATATATACACTCAGTTCCAAAAAAAGTGACGCACTTGATATTTGACCTATCTTCTTCTTTCTTCTTCTTTTATTTTTTTTTTATTGTTTGGTAGGTAATGCATTTGTCTTAAAAAAAAATAAAGAGGTGAAAAATGTTTTCAAAGCCTCCTTGATGGTGGTGGAATAACTCGAACCATGATTTATTTGTAATTTTTGACTCACCCAGTGTGTTAATTATTGAGTAATGGTATACAAAGTGCTTACGAAGGAGGCTTCTTTTGCGAGCATTTTGTTTTTTTATTCATTGATTCATCTCTAAAATGAACTCAATTGAAAATACCTATACAGGCTGATTCACGGTGGATGGAACATTAGAAGTATCTGGAGAACAGAAGGACAGATCATTTCGAAAATTTGTGGGCGTGAATAATCGAACTTGCTCTATCTGTCTAAAATATTTTCATCAATACAAGGTTGCCGCATGTATCAGAAAGTAGTAGCTACTTTGTTATTTCAAATGGAACATCCTGTATTTTATCGCATTTTCAGTTTGTCTTTGAAGAGCTGATTTCATCGATGTATCACACTTAGGGTCTGGCGGAAATGATTACAGAGATATAGGGTGTCAAAAATCGAGACTTTTCAACTTTAGTAAGTTTTTGTGTCGAAACTATTCATTATTGGTCAAAACGGCTTACATGTCCCTATCTTAACTTTTGATTTACCATCTACTGACATTTAATTTGGATAGATACAGGGTGATCAAAATTCTGAATTCTGCACCACCCTGTATTTGTTTCAATTAAATGTCATTAGATAGTGGATCGAAAGTTAAGATAGGGACATGTGAGCCGATTTGACCAATATTGAATAGTTTCGACACAAAAAATTTCTAAAGTTGAAAAATCTCGATTTTTCACACCCTATATCTCTGTAATCATTTCCGCTAGACCCCATGTGTGATACATCGATGGAATCAGCTCTTCAAAGACAATCTAAAAATGCGATAAAGCTCAGGATGTTCTATTTGAAATAACAAAGTAGCTACTACTTTCTGATACTTGCGGCAACACTGTATCGATGAAAATATTTTAGACGGATAGAGCAAGTTTGATTATCCACGCCCACAAATTTTCGACATGATCTGTCTTTCTGTTCTCCAGATACTTCTAATGTTCCATCCACCGTGAATCAGCCTGTATATATGTATAGGATCACATCTTCTGGAGATGGGTTTGTTGAAATTAATTATCGAAGTTCGGATAGTTAGCTTGCTGACTTGGTCTGTGGCAATAATAATGATAAAAATAATATTATTATCAACACCAACGAGAAACGCGAATTCCTCTTCACAAGTATATCTATAGAGTGTTTTTGAGTCAATATAATTACGTATGTGAATATAGTGCCCTAGAAGTGTTTTCGCACTTTCTAACCCAGCACAAGTTTCGACTTCTGGGGAATTGGTTCCCAACTTCGATTTGAAGATTTTACAACAAATTTACAAATATTTTCGAGAGAATCGCGAATGCTGATGATTTTCAACAAAAATGGTGATATAATAAATCCTGTGATCATTATGTGTATACCGACATGATTTCTATTTTGATATATTGAAGAAAAACTCTTAGCAGTTGTGTTGTAACTCGGGAGGATATATTGCAACATATTTTTCATTAGAAATATCTACAAATTATTAATCAGTTCACAACGGAATGTAATGAATAGACATTTTGATACTTGATACTTTTGCCATGATCTGATTGAAAAGAAAAAAAAAACTTTGTTAGTTGTACGATGGATTCTATTGATGTTTATCATAGAGGTAGTGGAGAATATTCTGAATTGAGTAATCCCAAAGGATGTGATAATATAGAGGTTTATAAAAGCAAATTTCAATCGGTCAGGTTTGAACCCTTCGATTGGGTATGACTGTCTTGATAAGGAATATCCTCAGATATATTATGTATTTACATGAAAAGAAATGGAACATGTAAAGAAATGAATTGCGAATTGATATTTCCTATCTGATGAGGATATGCATAATTTTTTGTTGACTTTACCGAGAAAAAATTGATATTTTTATGAGAAAGACTAGATAGAGAATGCGAAATCTCAATGTATTTCTTTATAATATGTTCCAATTTTTTTCATGTTCATAATCTATGTGAGATTATTTCTTTCCAAAACTGGAAAGATAATATGTTTGAACGCTTGATCACTGATTGTATCAATATTTAATTAATGCACTATTAAAATATTCAAATTATTCAAAGTGCAAAACAATCAGTGTGACGCATTTATTGAAGTGATATTCTGATTGTGTGATAATTTAACTAATTCGATACTTATAGTTATCTATTCAATTATTCTGTCAACTAGATAATGATAATAATTCTAACTATTGGTTATTATTGTTCATGAACCCCTCATGGTGGTGGTGACGCTACTGCCAGGCAAGTAGGTCCTCATGGGCCTATCATGACAACCCCTGCTCTCCACATATCCTCAAATCCTTGTTGTTGTCCTTTCTCCTCCCTAACCTCTAGATGAAGGCGAGCATGTTCATTCTATCTGAATCATGATTGAATTCGCTTGTTATACGACGCTATATATAGTGGAGTATACTACGGCCGTGCCAAAAATGCTATCTCGGAAACTAAGCGAGATAGAGGTATAGTTGCTTTGGAGAAAATGATCCCCATCGAATTTTGAGCAACTTTGGTTTTTGTGTGTGGTCTGTCTGTCTGTCTGTCTGTACTCTGTGTTAATCATAAATCGATATATCTCCGGAACCCTTTGACATATCGACTTGAAATTTTGCCATCTTATTGTACTCAAAACAATATTATGTCATTAAAATATGAAGGAAATCGGAAAACTCTAAGGTGGTTTTTCCGGGTTTTTTCGATTTTTCACCGGAAGTTCCTTGTAACCACTCTACAAATCGCAAAAGTGGTCCGATCGATTTCATTTTTTGTGAAAAAAACCTCTATCAGGAAGAGACGAAGCCTATTGAAATTGAGCAGGGTCGGAAAATTCCAAGTGGGTTTTTCAAGGAGATTTTCCGAAAAACACGGTTCGCTTTAAAACGACATATCTCGTGAACAAATAGACTAAATCCAAATTTGAGAAATGCACCGTATGCCTCTTTGATGACGCAACAAATTATCATTCAATCATTTTTTCGTGCATCCATCGGAAACTGGAAAAACAAATGAAAACCCAAACATCAAAATTTGAAATCCTTTTAATTCAATATATATCGAAAACAAATGGAAAAATCGAAAATTATCAAGAGTGCAATGTTATCCACTGGAACATTCCCTACAAATCATTTTCCATAATTTTTTCCGTAAACCCAATAGTACAGGAAATAAAGTGAAAAATATGAAAAAAAAAATTTTAACGACCCATAGGGTACTATGAAGATATATTGAAAAACATAGATTATCGATAGATGAAGCTCATCTACCTCCACTGAGGCATGGAATATTTTTTCATTTTGTTGATTGGAAGATGGAACAAAAGTGTTGAAAATTTTATTCTCAGATAATTCCAAATATCTCG